GGAAAGCCATCCAGTAGGGGCTCAGTTCTGAGCCTGGAGAAAGTGGGGTGCTGGACGCTCCAATGGCTGGGTCAATCCCGTTCAGCCTGGAGCCCCCTGTCCACAGTGGACATGAGCCCCTGGCTGCCTGCAAGGCCCTGAGCATGCCCCGAGCATGCCCCAGGCCCTGAGACCCTCAGGGGTCCCCCTGCCGTCCCATGTTGAACTCACTCCTACATCTGTCCAGGGTCTGCCTGCGGTTGGCGTCCGGGGTTTCAGAAACCAGAGAGGTGGAGCAGTGGGCTGTGGGCTGTGCTGAAGCATGTTGGCCATGCTCCAGGCACCTGGAAGCAGAAAGAAGGGGCTGTCCAGACTCAGCTGACCTCAGACCCCCTCAGTGAGGTTCTCACAGCCCCTTGGCCAAACCCCAGACCTGTGGGGTCTCTGGCAGGCTGGAAGCAAATCTTCATGCGGTGAATATGTTTGCATGTGTGTGGGGTGACCAGGCCATCCCTGTGTTCAGGGGCTGGACCAGCCTCTGAGAAAGTGGAAGGGAAGGTCACAGTAAATGCCTGAGAAAGGGGACAGGTGGTCAGGGCTGGCCTTTGGGACTGTAGAGAGCAGAGCTGGTGGCCTGCAGCAGCCCCACTTTGGCCCACTTCTGGGGCAGGGCCCTCGGCTTTCCAGCCAGGAGGCTTTTCACCAGAGGCTTGGAGGCAGTGATTGCTGGTATTGAAAGCCAGGGCCTGAGGCCAGGCACCCTGGAGCACCCACGATGCCCCAGGCCACTGCCCATCAGGGTGCCCTTCCTGTTTTCTGGGGCAAGCCCCACTTCTCGCAGCCTTGGGGAGCACATGTGGTGTGAAGGGTGCCAGACCTTTCTGGCTAAGCTCTGGCTCTGTGGCGAGGTGGGCCAAGGCCTTGATGGTGGTCACTGCCCTTCCACCAGCTGGCTATTGCAGTCCAGACCCAGAACAGGGTCCAAGGCAAAAGAAGCCACTGCAGGCAGGACAGAACCTCTGGTACTGACACCTGGCCAGATGCCTTGCCAGGGCTGCAGGTGGACACCAAGAGACCCTGGAAGTGCTGTGAGGGCTCTTCCCTGGCCCAGAGTGGGTGCAGCCCTGACACGTAGGAGCTGCTGTGGCAGGGCTGTGGCGCAGCCTTTCTGGGGCTCTACAGGACCTGGGCGGAGGGCTGGGGTGGGCCCTGGGTGGAGGGCCCTGCCAGGGCAGGGGTCCTCACAGAGCCCTCTGTTCTCGTGGGCCTTGCCGGGTTGTTCTCTGGAGGGTGGAGTCTTTGAAGCCAATTGAAGGGCAGCAGAGGAGGGGGCTTAGCAAGGTGCACACCAGGCTTGACTGGAAGAGTACACAAGCCTTCGTGGCTGGCCTCTGGGTGGGACCCTCTCGTCCTGGCTACAGCTCCTGTGCTGCTCCTCCCTGGCCTCTGGCCTTTCCCCGCCCAGGAAGGAGCCCCATCCCCATCTTCCGTATCTGTGCAGAGGCCTCTGCTTTTTGGTCAGCTGGGGGTTGGGGCTTCAGCAACACCCATATCTAGCTCTCAGGTCAAGTGGAGCCTATCTGCCTGCAGTGCCACCCCCTTGGCCCCAGGAGCAGACATGTGGTGGTGGGGCTCCTGCCACCCAGCTGTGGCCCCTGCTTGACTGGGCAGGCAGTGTGAGTAGCTCAGCCCCAGAACTTCCTGAGAAGGCTTCTCAGCCCCAGCAGCTTCCCTTGCTCAGGCCCCAGGTGCTGGACCTGGGACTGTCACCACCCTCATCTGTCCCTGCCAGGAGGGTCCTGGCTGGGCTCTCTCCCCTAGACCTGGATGAGTGAGAGCAGGAAAAGGAGGCTGGGTATGGACAGATGTCAAATGAGATGGAAGAGGCAGAGATGGGGGCTAGGGGGGAGGAGGGACAGGGGGAGAGACAGACGGAGGAGAGAGAGAGACATGGGGACAGAGAGAGAGAGAGAGATAGAAAGTGAGACTGAGGGGAGAGAGACACAGGGGAGGGGAGGGACAGACAGACAGAGGGACAGAAAGAGAAAACAGAGACAGACAGACAGAGAGACACAGGGACCTAGAGGGACCTAGGGAGTGGGGGTCAGAATTCAAAGTCCAGCAGAGATGGTTGCGGGGTGGTGCTCCCCCAGGCCTGGGCTGTGCAGTGGGTGCAGTTGACCTTGAAGTCCAGCACTGATGCCCTGGATTCCTAACTAGAGGACCCTGTCCTCCCTAACCTTGAGTAGACCATCTTAAGACACTGGGTTAGCTCCCTGCCAGGTGTCTTATAAAGGTGGCTGAGGTCAGCTGTGGGACATACTCCTGGGCTCAGGAGGTCACCCTGGGGTCTTCTGTGGGGTGGGTTCCACCTGATGGAGGGGTGGAGAGAAGAGGTGCTTGTGGAAAGAAGTGACCACTCTCTTACCTGGACTACTTCTTCTCCTTTGCCCCTCTCCCCCTAGATTCTGAGTATCCTGATGGCCAGGCCAGCACACCGGGAACAAGGACTTCCACAGAGCAGCCACCTGGACTGGATGGGGTCTATGTACCCATCCTCTAATGTGCAGGGTGAGGGTGAGGTGAGACTGAGTTGAGAGGGACAGTGCCTCTTGTGGTCAGCCAGGGTCCGGGGGTGGTCACTGGGTGTCTTTGGCCCTCTGGGGTGCTGTGGGTCCTGCGGACCCCCCCACTTGGTCCAGACTCAGTGCAGAAACCTTACTTATCAAAGGGAGCCACATGCTGAAGGGCTCCTGGGGTCCTGGACATGGGGCCCCCTGGGAATGGTCTCCCCTGGGTTGGTAATGCTCAGTGGAATGACTCAGGCTGGAGGGAATAAGGACAAGTTAATGCAGTGTCCACTACCACCTGGTGGCCTGGAGCCAGGCTCCTCAGGAATCTGAGCAGCTCTAGGTGGCCCCAAGCAACCAAGGCCAGGGCTGAGCCATGCCAGGCTGGGAACTGCAGAGACTGCAGGGCCAGGGGCTGCAGCGACCCACCAGCCTGCAGTGCAGTGGTGGGGAGCAGATGGGCCAGGGGAAGGGGTGGCTGACCCGCGGGATTACTGCGACTCTCTGGGGGAATGAGCACCCAGTCGTCCTCTGTGACCTTCAGAAGTACCCCCCACCCCTTCCAGCTCCCCAGGCTTGGGAGTGGGGCAGCAGGGTCTCTTGGCCTCTGTCCCACCGAAGCCAACCTTGGCAGCTCCGCTGCACAGCTCACAGCTTGGAGGAGGGCCCCTCCCGCGAGGGTCTCGGTGGGTCTGGGGTCTGAGGCAGCTCCTGCCCATCCTGCCTCTGCAGGGCCGGACCGCTCGCCAGGAACCCCGTCCCGGGCCGCGGGCTGGGTGGAGACGGTGACCCCAGCCATGCCCTTGCCCTCCGAGGGGTCTCAAGGCCCCGCGGTGCTCCGCACTCCCACAGACACGGGTGGGATTCGAGCCAAGTCGCCCAGGCACGGAACCAGAGACCCCGGGGCGCGGTGTCGCGCCCCCCCCGCCCCCGCCCAGCCCGCTGGCGCCCGCGGAACCGCCGCGCCCCGCCCTCCTCGTCATGCGGGACGCGGGCGGGGGGCGGGGGCGCCTCGGCGTGACGCGCCCTCCTCGCGGTGCCCTTCAGCCGCCGCCGCAGCGCCCAGGCGCCACATGGACCCGGCCGGCCCGAGCGCGCGCTGCCGCTGACCGCCGCCGCCCGCCCGCCCGCCCGGGAAGGTAACCCGCGCCCGCGCAGCCCGGCCGCCCGCTCCGCGCCCCGGCCCCCGGCTCCCGGCTCCGGTTTCCCCGGCTCCCGGCTCCCCTGCGCCCCGGCTCCCGGGTTCCTGGTCCCTTCCCGGGCCCGGACCCGCCTGGCCGAGCGGGCGCTGTCCGCCGCGCGGTGCTGAATCGGCCCGGGGTCCCTCGCTTCTGCAGCGAATCCGCGCCCCTCTCCGGTGCTCTCTTATCCCTGGAGCGCGCCGCCCGAGGCCTCTCGCGAAACCGAGGGTGCGGCGGCCCTGAGCCCGAGCGCCTCCGGTTCTCGGTTCTCGCCGCAGCTCCCGTAGCGCCCGCACCTCTCTGCGGCTGGGCCCGCGGTCCCCTCCCCCAGGAGCCAGGGGAGAAGTTTGGAAGAGAACAGGCTTTGCGGCAAAGGCGCCCTGTTCGCCAGCACTTAGGGGGTAGATCCTTGCCCTCCACCGTCCCCAGTCCCCACGCGGTCTCCGTGGTCTGCAGAGGGAGAACCATGAAACAATGGATCCCTAGGGACCTGGGGCTCCCTTAGAGGAGAGATCCTCACCAAGAGGGGCACTGCAAGGCTGTGGCTTTGCAAGAAGGTCTCGCCACCAGAATCCACCCAGCTGGGCACTCACTCCTGGCCACTGACCTCACAGGGACACAGGTGGGGGCCATCTGCCCACTCCCACTGAAAGGCTGGCCCCTGCCTTTTGTCCCCTCAACTTCATCCTCCTGCTGCAGGCATTGGGATCTCCCCAGGGACAGAGACTGGCCTCCTGACACTGACCAGAAACCACCTTCCCCAAAGGGCACCACTCAGGGCCTGCCCATCCTAACCCTTCTCCACCCCGCAGACAGACCCCTGCCCCATTGTCCAGGGACCAGCAAGGAGGCTGAGCAGCCCCATCCTGTGCTGGGAAACAGAGCAGTGACCTTCAAATGCCCCCTGGGCCCTGCCCCCACTGCACGCAGACTGGCGCCAGGCTCCTCTGAGCAGTGCCCCCGGGCTGGGAGCAGCCCTCCTCCCCGCAGTAGCTGCCGAAAACAGCCTTCAGAGCCGGGTGCACCTGCAGTGCTGGACCTGCCATCCTGGCTGGTGTGAGGACAGACGCCTCCTCACACACACACACTCTCCCAGGTGCCCTTCCTGGGTGGGTCGGCCCTACAGGGTGCTGGGAAGGGGGGATGAAGATGGTCTCTGGGGAAGGTCTTGTCAGGGCGCCTGTGACTCTGCACTCTCCCCTAGGTAGAGGACGCCTGCCCCACTTGAATGTGAGATCCAGGAGTGGTCCCAAGGAATCAAGCCATCACCATGGAGTTTGTGATGAAACAGGCCCTGGGAGGTAAGAGGTGGGACAGGCAGGGAGGGGGCTGTGGGACTGGGCCACCAGGGAGGGGACTGGCAGATACAGGGCACCCAGAGATGTGTCTCCCAGCTGGCACAGACAGCAGGGCCCCACGGCCACCTTGGACTTCACATAGGCCAAGGCAGCACCCTCGTGCCAGCCCCCCTGAGCCTCCTGGGCAGCCTTGGGGGCCTGGAGATGGAGGCCGGGGGCGGCATGGTAGGACAGAGCCTCTTAAGGGCTGAGCAGCCGCACCCCCACTTGGGGAAGCAGCACCCAAAGGTAGGCTTGGAGTTGGTCCTGTAGCAGAGCTCCAGAAAGCCAAGGGGAGGTGTGGGGTCTGCCTGCTGTGGGGTTGGGCTCCGTGGTTTCATGCGGATAGGGAGCCTACCGTCCTCACAGAGGCATGGCTAACTGGACACAGGAACAGATAGGGCAGCTCTGTGGCCTCCTTTGTGTATGTTGGGAAGGGCAGGCTCCTGCAGCCTGCAGAGTGCTGTTGAAGGAGCCCTGTCCCCATTGGCCCAGGGCCATCACTGTGGCCAGAGGCTGCCTGGACTGAAAGCTGCTAGAAGATAGTGGGCTAAGTCCCTGACTGGGGTGCCAGGGCAGTGGACAGAGGGTCTGGTCCACGTTGGCACAGGTGTACTTGGTCAGGTCTGTTGAGTCAGCTCAGGCCCACAGAGTCTTGGGACTGTCCTGGTTGGGTCTCAAGTCCACCCGCAGCTGTCCACTCTTGGCACCTCAGCTCCCTTGGTGCCCAGAGCTCCCTGTGAGAGGAACATGTGGCCAGTGCCCAGTTCTCCCACTCCCTTGGTGGCCTGCATGGGGAACATCCTGGCCCTGTGTGGCTTCCAGCTGGGTGTTGGGCGGGGGGGAGGGGTTGAGAGCTGCAGTGCCCAGGAGGAGGAGGCTGGGGCAGTGCCACGCAGAGCACCTCCTGGAGGCAAGAGCACTTCTGCCCAGACATTGTATGGCAACCTGGCCCGTGCTGAGGGTGCAAGGCTGAGGCAGGCTGAGGTTGAGTCTGATTATAAACACCACGTCACCAGACGTGATTCAGGGACAGGCTGGCACCCTGCATCGGGAGGGACCCGGGCTCCACCAGCCCATCCCAGGCTGTCACAGATAATTAATCAGGTGGCTAATTCAGGCCTGAGGTGGGCTTTTAGGGAAACTGAGCCGTCTGACTTGCTGTCTGCGAGGCTGGAATTAGCGGGTAATTGCCAGCCGGGAGTCCCTCTTTGTTCCATGTCAGCCCAAAGTTTTTCCTGCAGTGGTGCCAGGGCGGGCTGTGCCAGCTCCGTGGGAGCCCTGGGGGTGGCCAGTGGGCGTGCGCTGGGCTGCGGCCCCATGCTGGGTGCCAGGCTGCGCAAGGTGCAGAGAACTCTGGGTTTGTTCTGTGTTCCTGCTGTGGAGACTGCAGTGGCCAGCGCTGGGCGGGGCTAGCAGGCAAGGCTCTCGGGGAACCTGTCTCGGCTCCAAGCTCTTCTCTCCCTGCGGGCGTCACTTTGGGCTCAGAGTGCATGTGAGCAAGATAGAGACAGAGACTGGGACGGATGGAGGAAGGGGGACAGCTCCACAATGAAGGTCAGAGGTCGGCAGAGACCCCAAGGGACAGACCAAGCCCCAGACCTGGAGAAACCGGCAGGTGGGAGAGCAGGAGAGGCCCAGGAAGCCACCAGAGAGCCAGGGACAAGAAAGGAAAGAAAAGAGCAGCCCAGAAACAGAGATCAAGGAACAGAAAGGGAAATGCACTCAGGATGCAGGGGGGCAGACGGAACGGAGCTGCCGAGAGTGAGACTTTCAAGCTGAGAAGCAGACTCGGGCAGGACCACACAGAGACTCACGCAGGAGGGGCCTGGGGAGACTTTGGGTCCTGGTGACCCGCTGCAGACAGGCCTCACTGCCATGCTGCCTAATTCAATCTTTCTTCTCTTCTGCAAGCTGTGTCCTTTGTGAGGAGGGGGACATATGTCTCAGGGTCTTGTCTGCTCTGTCTCAGGCAAGGCTCTTGTGGGGACAGAAGGTGCGGGGCAGCAGCTGAGGTCGCAGGCCACAGGCTCTGCACGTACGAGGCCCTCTCTGTTGGTCTTGTCCCCTCTGGGACTCCAGGTCCAGGATGGCATGTCCTGTTGCAACGCAGGGCCCTAGATGGGGGAGGAATGGACTCTGGATCGGGCTGGGCCATGGACACACAGTGCCCCTCCTTTCCAGGGAGACCCAGCCCTTGCACACACCCCTGAGCTGGTGGACGTGTCCGGGGCAGGCTGCAGCCTGTGCAGCCGCTCCAGCTGGTGGACCTGCAGGGTATGGGGAAGGGCCTGGCCAGCAGTGCCTCCTCCAGCCCGGGCCCGTTCCCTGGTCAGCTGCCACAGAGCTGGTACCATGTCTGCCAAGCTCAGCCTGGCAGGCCTCTCCCAACCTCCTTTCCACCCAGCCCAACGGCCCAGTTACCGTCCCTGGCCTCGCCACGTCCTGTGACCTCTGCACCATGGTCCCTGCACACACAGCCACCAGTGTCTCCTGCACTGCATTCTCATGGCCCCCTGATGTGCCTTCCCCACCTGTCACCACCAAGGTGCCCTGAGGGAGCAGCTGACTCCAAGGCCCCTCTAGTCCACGTCCCCAGAACTGGGCAGTCCTGTGTCCCTTGGGGCTCACAGTGTGCTATGGGTTGACCCCTGCCACCCTTAAGGCCACAGTTCAAGGGCAGTGCTGCCTGGCAGGCCTGACCACACTGCCAGCCTGGCCATCGTGGGCACCCTGGGATCATGTGCCCCTGGCCAGGCAGGGCTGGGAGGAGAGTTCTCTTGGGACCAAATTGGGGCACTTGGCATCCAGCTTGAGGCTGTTGCTTCTCGTAGGAGAACGCCCTTGTGGCCTCAGCAGGCCTTGGACCCCCCCAGGGTGCATCATGGCCGTGATTCAGGCCTCTGCCACCCTCTGTGGGGACAGGCCACCTCCTGTGGTTTTTCCCCCTCTGGGACTCCAGTTCCAGGATGGCATGTCCTGTTGCAGGTGGCCAGGTGCTCTGGCCACATCTGTGAGGACCTGGGGCTGGCTCCTGAGCCATAGGGCACACATGTCTGGAGGTGGCCTGGGCCCCGGGCTGTGTTTTCACCAGGGGGAGAGTGGGCATTGCGGGTGGTGGCCCAGATGATCTCGTTCTGCCATACCTCCTTAGTGTGACCCTCTGTGTCCAGAGCATGCTCAGGTCCTCGGGAGGGGTGCAGGGATGTGGGGCCCTGGTGGATGAGAGATGGGACGGGGGGTGTGAGCATGTGTAAATGCCAGGACCTCAGGGGCCAGGGCAGGCTGGACAGTGCTAGCCCACACTGTCCAGGCAGCTCCAGGACCCCCCCCAGCATGGTCATTGTGGACAATGTCCTATGGGGAGTCTGCCCTGGGCTCTGTGTCAAGGATGAGGCATGTCCCTGTCCTGTCCCACCCCCAGGGCCTGGATGGGCTGATCTGCTGGACCCTTTCCTGTCCACTCTTCCCTTGACTGGGTCTCAGTAGCTCTATGTGTTGGGGCCTCCTGGCTGTCCCTCCCTGGCTGTCCCTCCCTGGCTGTCCCTCCCTGGCTGACCCTGAGTTGGGCGGTCGGGGGATGCTGCCCAGGCCCAGGTCCTCAGGAGTCTGGGAGGACACTGGAGCTGTGTGCTGAACTGGGCAGCATGTGAATAGTTCCAGGTGGGGAGATGGCTTTCAGAGGGCAGTAACAGAGCCAGAGGGAGAGCAGCTCATGTGGGTGACAGGGGTCAGGTGGCTTTGGTGCCTTAAGTGTAGCTTTCCACTCTGCCTGCTCCTCTAATTTCAAGGTGACTGCTGCTGCCCCCACATTGCATCACCAGTCCAGGGAGGCGCTGAGGCACAGCCTGTGTTACCTGTTCAGCGCTGTGTTAGTGGAGACTCTTAGTTTCCATTCAGGCATCCCTGGCTAGAGGGCTCACACCCAAGAAGGGAAGTACTAATTTCCAGGACCCCCAACCTTGAGCCCCTGCGACAGGTGTGTCCTCCTCCCCCACAGGTAAGTGCTTGAGAGAGAAATACCCACACTCGTGCCTCTCTGAGGATGCCGCGCTCCTCGGCCGGCAGAAGCACCTCTTGCCCCAGATCCCTGGCAGCCTGAAGGACACTCCAGGCAAGAGCCTCCCTCCGCAGCCCAGCAGCTCCCCTCCCCTCCGGAGGGCGCAGCTCACGAAGGCTGGCTGGTCCCCTCATTGGCTGGCAGGAAACTGGCTGGGATGCGAGCTGTGTTTTGACAGTGCCCGCGTGGGGGCTCTCAGCAGTGTTTGCCAACATCCCCCGCTGGGGGTGGGTGGACGGGCGGAGATCCACGATGCCTCAAACAGCTGCAAGTCCAGGCCCCCACCCTGTGCCACCAGCCAGGGGCCAAGGAGGGCTGGGCCAGGGGACATGGCACCCCTGCACCCTTGGGCCAGGGGAGGCCCTCCTTCCAGCTCCACCCAGCCCCTGGGGGTGCTGAGGCTCCTGTTCCAGGTGGCACGGGGCAGGACGCAGTCCTTCTGAAGTGCCCTGCCTTTGGCTGGGGACTCCCAGAGGTGCAGCCTGCAGGGCAGCAGGGAGGGGGACTCTGGCAGGGGGCTGTGGAAGGCCCAGTCAGGCCCCGTTTCTCCTGCCTCTGCTGCAGGCTCCCAGTTTCTCAGTGTTGTCCTTGTCCTCAGCTGGTGCCCTGGGGGTGTCCAGTGACACTGCTGAGCCACATTTCCTCTCCTCCTGCACCTGGTAAACATGGTTCCCCCTCTGTTCCATAGGGCCAGGGCCTCTGATTTCCTTTTTGCAGAGTTAATGACCTAGCAGGGTGTAAAACGTTGTTTTAGTAGCTCCTGTGTGAGGGGTCTCAAAAATGTTCCCATGGCAATAGGGATGGGCTCTGAGGCTGAGGTGCTAGGTGCTAATTCTGGGTGCTGAGCACTGGTACTGGGTACAGGTACTGGTGCTAGGTGTCAATGTTGAGTGCTGGGTACAAG